TGGGCCAGCAGCTTTCCTTCACCTCACAGGTGGTTCTTGGCCACTCCTGATTTCCTCAACTGTCATTAGCTCTGTACAGTCCCCTGTAACTGGTTTTTTTTTTACCTCAGAACACTGAGCTCTGCAGCTGACCAATCAGAGACTGGTGGCTGCAGAGAGGCAGCTGCCTGCTAGCCGCATAGGAATCAATGGGGGGAGCACATTCTCCCCCTTTTGACCCACTTAGAGGTCAAATTTCTAAAAAAGCCTTCTTAGCGAGCACCTACGGCACGGTAGGAGCGTTCTCCCCGAATCTGGTGTCTCTAGGTCCAGCGGTTTGGCCTGGGCATTGATTTTACGGTGAGGGGACTTTCTTTTATATATATAGATGGTAGCATAGGGTGTAGCAGTTTACAACTCTTTCTCAAGTACTGGGTATATGTGCAATTTTCCTTTTAGACAATGAACATGCTTATTCCATAAATATGTACATTCCATAAATATGCTAAATAGTGCAATCTTATATGCTAAGTTAGAAATGATGCATTTTATGGTGTTCAATCAGTAAAAGAATCAGGTTTGATAGAAAAGTTCTGCATATATTCTATTTTTCTCCAAAATTTCCATTTTTCCCATGGTTTCAAAATGTCCAGAAAATTTTACATCTCTGCCCAAGTATATGAATCAGACTATAATCAGATGAGCAGCTGAGAAGGATAAAAAAGTAGAGACCCAATCCTGTGCCAGTAAATAAGCAACAATTTTCAATGAATGATATCAACTGCTTTATCAGCATATACACAGCAATACACTGGCCAAAATAATGGCTCAAGACAGCACAACAAAATTAACATTTAGTCCTACCTAAAGTGTCCATTTAAAATGAGCAACAAACTACTTGTTTTTTAAAGTACAATGTTAGGGGGAAAGTAAACACACAGTCAATGGGAGTTACAGCCCTCTCTAACCACCCAACCAAACACTATTCAGACAAGTGAATCTGTTTGTCAACCAACTTAGAATAGAAGACCAACCGCATGTTTAGAACATAAGAGACGCCAATGTTGGATCAGGCCAAAGGCCCATCCAGTCCAACACTCTGTATCACACAGTGGCCAAAAATACCAGTGCCAGCAGGAGGTCCACCAGTGGGGCCAGGACATTAGAAGCCCTCCCACAGTCTACGATTAGACCCCATGGGAGGGAATCAGAAAGCAAGAGACATTCAATAAACAATCCAATACGACTAGATGATACATACAGAGACAACTGCAGGACTGCCATCTTACTCCCTTATAATAGTGCTCTCCAGGACTTTTCCATTATATTGCAATTCTAATACCTTTATAAAAATGCCCTCTTGAACATTTCTGTTTTGTATATTCTGTGGAATAACAGAAATGTGGGTGCCTTCCTGACCTCCTCAGGCAGGCCATTCCACAAGGCAGGAGCTACCACAGAGAATGCACATGAACAGGCCTATCCTACCTATTTGCAGAGTGACACCATCAGACAGCATGGCTCAGATGAGCAAAGACAGCACAGCATAGTGGGAGATGCGGTCTTGATGGAATGCAGGTCCAAGGCTATTAAGGGCTTTGTAGGTGATAACTAATAACTTGAACCTGTAACTGCTTAGTAACCAATGGAGTGACTGTAGAATGGGACTGAAGTTTCTCAGCTGACTTTAAGAGTAGACCCATGAAGTTACTGTAGCCTTGACGTTACTGTAGAATGGAACCATGTGGTCAAATAGGCTGGCTCAAAGTAGGGAGCCATCTTCTAGACTAAATGATTTTTTTGCAGCTGCATTAACTTGTTTTTTCAATAGCAACGCTCAGTATAAATCTTAGGCTCTTTACTGAGTTAGTGACAGTCAGTGGGATTTCATCAAATATCTTTCAAGACCTCACCCCTCCTCCTGACAAGCATCACTTCTATCTTGTCAGGATTCAGTTTCAATGTGTTTGCCCTTAGACAATCCACCACAGCAGTAAGGTAGTGGCTCAGGACTTCTACAACATCCCAGGGGATCTGGATAAAGAAATGTAGAGCTGGGTGTCATAAGCCTATTGATAACAATCTACTTCAAAATTACAAATGATTTCTCCTAAAGGGCTTACATAGCTATTAAATAACATGGGGGAATAAGACTGAGCCCTGTGGAACCCCACAGGAGTGGTTATGACAACTAATCTCCAACAGCAATCCTTTGAGCCCAGTCCATAAAGAAAAATTTAAACCAATCCAAAGAACTTCCCTTCATCCCTATTCTTACCTCCAGGGATTTCTACAAGATGGCATGGTCTACAGTAAAAACGCATATAATAATCTAATATGTGTCAAGTGTCATAGAACATGCTTTCATTTAAAAAGTGTATGGAGAACATAAATGAATGGGGAGTCTGGTGCTGGAAACTTCACATACCTTCCACCCTACTAGAAAGGAATTTACATATCTAAAACCCCATGATTAGGGATTAAACTGAATCATTTTCTTCATCACATTTATTAAAAGGTGTCTGCTAACTTTCAGAATCTTATACTGTTACCTAAATATTTTATTTCAGCATGGAACAGTCTTATTTTGTATTACATTACAAAATTTGCAAGAGCTGCAAATATAGCTGTGATTTAACAGAACTAAAGTTACTCATTTAATTGTACCTAACAGTTACATGACAGCCAGTGCAGTGTACCAATCAACATGCTGGACTAGGATCTGGGAGATGAAGTTCAAATCCCCACTCACCCATGGAAGCTTGCTGGATAGCCTTGGCTAGTCACACACTATTATTATTATCAATGTCATTATTATTATTTTAATCACCCCATCCCTACTATCATATGGCTCTGGCCAATGTACATAGTATTGAAAACAGTCTCCAAATAAACAATTGAACATATTAAATTACATTAAAACCAGATTGCAAGTAGTGATCCTTAGAATTAATTATTGCCCTATTACAGACTGCCGGATGGGGTTTTTTTTGGGGGGGAGGAGGGTGCCAGCCGTGGTAAAGACTGTCGCTGTCCTCAACCAAAAGCCTAACCTCCTCACAGGGTTGTTGTATGGGCAGAAATTGAGAGGGTCAGAGAGATATAAGCTACTTCAGGAAGAAAGATAAGGCTGTAAATAAAATCAACAAACATGTACTAAGAAAGATCAAGATGGGTAGCTGTGTTAGTCTGTCTGTAGCAGTAGAAAAGAGCAACTGCAGTAGCACCTTAAAGATTAACAAAATTTGTAGCAGTAGAAAGGAGCAAGAGCCCAGGTATCTGAAGAAGTGAGCAGTGATTCATGAAAGCTTATACCTTGCCACAAATTCTGTCACTCTTTAAGGTGCTAATGTACTAAGTTAGTTTACTAGACAAAAAGGAACTCTTTAAACTCAGATTTGCTATTTTAAAATAAGATTTGGGTTACTGAACCATTGGCTTCCGAATGCCTCATTTTTGCTAATAAATATGCAACATTTAGTAATTCCTAGAAGTATATATTAGAAGAAAGTACACTATTTCTATGTTCTCATACATAAATGTAGTACAGAAGACTAACCCAACAGCAACCTGCTACTGCACGTTTGCCAGCTGGACTAGATCACAAGTCACAAAAATTGAATGTAAACATAAATACAACAAAGCTCACTAAATTCTTAATGGGAAAACCCCAGAGAAAGTAGAGAATCAGTATAAGACTATACTGATAAGATGACAAAAGGAAGCATACCATGTACTATAATGTCTCAAGGGTACCTAAATCAAATAAGAAATTGAATGGGGAGTACTTAGTCACATATTATAGACTAGCGAATCAAATACATAAAGTTGACAAGAAGACACTGGTAGTGGAGCATATTGTGAAAAGCAAGTAGTCAAAACTATGTTTAAAGTAACAACCAACATTAAGTTTTTATTTAAAAATAGTGTGTTCTGCTTGTGCTACCTTCTTTCAAAATACCCTGCAATGGGTGGTTAAAAAGTAAAGAATGGGTGGTTAATACAGCCAACTGCTGTATTAAGGCCCAGTAAATTATTACAGAACATAGCACCTGGCAGCACGAGAGACTCATTGGTTAGCAATGGGGAGCACAGAAAAGACTGAACACGAAAACTATGGGACTCCATGCACTAAAGAAATAAACAATGTGGGAAGTTACAACGCAGAACTGCGTGGTCCCGACTAGACACTCTGCAGCACAGCACTGAGGGAGTATTAGCGGGTACAGCAGGACAAGGCTTTATTTACAGGAGGTGGTGGTGGGAGGGACCGGATGAATTCGAAGACGGCGAATCCTGGGACTGGAGAGCAATGCCGGCGACAATAGGGGGCGCCACAGATCTATATGAGAGACTGTGGTGGGGGCGGTGTAGAGCCGCAGGGCAGAGTTAGGACTGGGGGGGGAGGGGAAACCCCAAACGTACACAAAACTCTCTGAAGTCCAACTCCCTGTAATGTTCAGCCTCGCGCGTCGACGAAGTAGGAAGCTAGCTCTAAAAGAATCTCCCTTTCACCGCGCCACCACTACCACCTTCGCTCGCTCGTTTCCCTCCCGGTTTGCCCGTTACCTATTACCCATCACTCTCAGCGCAGCGCCGCCATCCTGCCTCCGGCCAACTCCCACGGGAAGGGGACTGACCTCGCGAGAACTCCCACTTCACCCCTCCCGGGAAACAACATGGAGGCAACGGCGCGCACGTGTCCGTGTCCCAGATACAAAACAGCACCCGCAATCCTTGTGCGTGCGTGCTCGCGCACGTGAAGGGTGGGAACACACGAAGGCGATGTTGACACCATCACGCGCACGACCCCCCCCCCCCCCCCCCCCACCTCGCCGGGATTCGAAGGAGGCGCGCGAGCCTTCTCCCGCACGCGCTGGTCACATGGGGCTACAATACCACCCGACTCCTCTTTCTTACCCCTCCTCCCCTCTCGCAAACTCAGCACCATCCGGGTTCTTTTGCCTTGCTTAGCTTTATTTCTCCCCTACCTCCCTCGCCCCCGAGAAAAGAGGCCTGACCTGGTTGCTGGGAGACGAAGAACTTAGTCCGTTGAAACTGAAGCCATCGCTTCTTCCCCCCTTTGCTCTCAAGCAGCCCCACCAGACATCAGCGTTTTGCTTCCCCTCCCCCACAACACAGCGCCTGCCTGACTCTCCTCAGCGCCGTGCTGCAGCTCCTCTTCCGCTTCCTTCCCCTCCCTCGATCCCCTGTGCAGCGAGCAAGTGGGGGCCGCTCCCTGCAGCTCCGCCTGCTGGTTAAACAAGACGGCGACTGACCGGAGGGTGAGACGGAGGTGTCCGTGTGCTGGCCCCCGCCGCCCGAGCCGGCTGAAGGGAGAGCCGACGGCGACTGTGGGTCTGGTCAGTGCCGAGTGAAGAAGAGAGCCGCCCGTGTGTGTGTGTGTACGGGGAAGACGCTCAAACTGCCTTCGCCTGAAGAAAATGACGCGTTGTGTAGTATAATCCTAACCACGCGACTCCAGCTTGAATTCCTTGGCTCTCCCGAGTGAACGTATGGGAGATGGTCGGCTTCTAACCAAGAGAGCGGAGGGGCTACGGCAGCCCGGTTCTGATCAACGGGTAGGGCCCCACTGAATTTAACATGACTGATTCCCCCCCCCCCCCCAAATACATTCCTCAGTTCTTTGCCAAGTGGCGGTATAAAGCAACTATCTACAAAAAGCCTCTTTTTATTCATTTATTTTATTTGCATTATTTATAGTCTGCCTTTCTCACTAGGACTGAAGGCGGATTACACAGAGTGAGTCAATACTGTGGACAGGATGGGACAATGCAATAAGAACTAGGGTTGTAGAAGCAACCAGAAATGTAAAAAACAAGTGAAGCAAAGCATAAGTATTAACGTGACACATTAAATAATGCAAAAATTACATTAATAGGAGCCTAGTTTTGGCAAGCTATACACAGTAGTATAGACCACAGTCCCTAATAATTTATCTGAGAAACTTTGTGAAACGTTTAGTACAGTGCAGATCTATTGCCACTGTAGAAAAACCCTCTTGAATAATTCAGTTCTCCCTCTGAGGTGGAGGACATCTTGTGAGCGATTCCCATCCATCACTTAGGGAGGCAGGACTAATTTCAATTACTTCCTGTTTCCTGTAGTGGGAGTCACCCTAGGCTCAGTTCTTTTCCTGCCTCAGAAGGGAGAGCAGCTAGGTGTAGTCTCTGCCTAACCCTATCTTTCTGAGTTAACTTACTTTCACTGTCTCCTTCCATCTTTGCTCTTCCCTCTCCGAAGAAACTTAAGGGGGGAAATCCTTTTCTTCCTTCCTATATGTTAGCCTCTTTTCTCCCCCCCACCCACTTTGGAGGTTGAGCATTGACGGGCGGGTTGCTCTCTTAATGGGAGGGGGATCTCACAGACTGCCTTCCATGGCATTAAGAGAGGATAGCAATGGATTTCTCTCCACTCCAGGGATAGAGGCCCTGGCAGTGGCCAACGCTCAACCAGCAGAGCAAGGCAAGGATGGCATTCCAAAGCGCGCCAAACAGTTGCATACCCCTGCAGCATTTACGGAGCCCGCACCAGCCTCAGCGGCCATTTTGGATCCCACTGGGCACTCTATGCTTTAAGACAGGAATGGCGAGCAGAGCCCAATCCCGCACATGGCGCACCCCGAGACCTATGGTTCAATGGGGTTCATTGAGCTAGGTGTGATTGTGCCGATAATGCTCAAAGGGCCAAGGAAGATGACGAGTTGCAGAGCGGCGAGCAGAGCCTAATCCTGCACATGGCGCACCCTGAGACCTATGGTTCAATGGGGTTCATCGAGCTAGGCATGATTGTGCCGATAATGCTCAAGGGGACGAGGAAGATGACGAGTTGCAGAGCGGTAATGTTGGCAATCCCAGGTCTGTCCCCTTATTTCCAAATGTAATGGCCTTCTTTATAAGAGCCATGGGGGAGGAAATAGCGCATTTCTGCAGATCAGGGGGCCATGGGGCTACTATATCCTCCTCCCCCTCTCCTTGGAGGCGCAAGAACAGAGTCAGCTGTCCCACCAAAGCTGCACAAAAAGGGTTCCCCAAGGAACTTATTTGATCCGCCTTCACGTGAGAGGGATAGCCTCTCGCATGTCTCTGGTGAAAAGGAGGGGGGATTTTCATGTAATGATGGTGCATAGGGGGAAACGATTGTCTCAGACCAATCCTTTAGATATTTCAAGGGCGAGGTTTTTCAGTATTTGCTGTCTAAGACCCTATCAGCACTCAATATACAGGGACCCCAAAAGGCAGGGGACAAGAGTGCTAATGCCCAAGGGCAGAAAGATGGCACAGAGCTCATTGATTAGTTCTTTCCTCCAGCTGATTGCTCAGAAAGAGCCTTCCTCTCCCCTGAATTGTATGTGAGACAGATGAGGCAGAGTGGGCAAAGCCAATAACAAATAAACCATTTCCAGGGGTTGTTAAAAAGTTGTACCCTTTGATATCATCTGCTTCAGATCTTTTGCAGGTACATGTGGTTGATGCACCAGCGACTGCCCTGCATTTCTTTGGGTTGCTCTCTGAAGACGGACATGAGGCCACTTCCATGGCAATCAATATGCCAGCTGCAGCATCCACAGTTTCTAAAGCAACTATTGTGTGAGGAAGGATGGCTCCAGAGCTAACTAATTTATGCAGTAGCCAAATTGCTGGCCCACAACTTTAATGCCAGTAGCTCACAAAGCAGAATTTTTGCTCACAAGCTAGGAGGGAGCATTGCTGGAGGTTGCCAATAGGATCTTGAAAGCTATCTCCTATACTGCCGATGCCACACTAGACACCATGGTCTTTGCTTCCAGGGCGATGGCATCAGCAGCCGCCGCTAGTCGCATAATCTGACTTTGGCCTACAGATTACCAATCTAATGCCATCGTCACAGCCTGCCCATTTCAGGGAGACAATCTGTTCGTGGATCCACTGGAAACAAACAAACAAAGAAAGAAATCTTAGTGGAAACCTGCAACAACAAGAAGGCTCTACCCAAGACCGTACAGCTTGGGGGATAAGATGGCAGCAGGCCCCTCTTTTTTCCATTCATACCATACTCTGTCCCTGTAAACAAACAAGAGACC